CCCTCCCACTCGCTCCAGGTGAATTCTCCTGATTATATCCTGCTGTGTTCTCACATCAGCTCACTCTGACTCTCTGCAGAATAAATACGAGGAGGCTGGAGGAGAAACTCCGGCTGAAGAGAGAAACATTCAGCTGTTTGCGTAGTTTTTCAGGAGTTTTCTGCAAGAGTGAAATCCTTGTATATAAGTGTTGATTTTGGATTTCCCTTTGTGCAAACGAGGATTAACACAGAGTAACACCATGACACTTTCATAAAAGCAGAACATTTTTAACATGAACACAGAGCTGGTTTGGTTTAAAGTCTAATTGAGGAGAAGCAGCGTGACTTTAAAGGCCTAGTTTGTTTTCCAACATAGTTAATTCAGCTGCTCTGTCGTCCACAACCAGGCTGTGTTTACAAAAATCAAATATACTCTTCACCCGAATCTGTCATTGTAAATATACTATCTGCTGATAAAACATCTAAAACGACTGAATGAAAGAGTCTGCAGCTCCGTGTTACAAACACGACCAAAGGATCTCATGGAATGATTATTTAATGATACGAGCAGAGAGCGTCTGCAGGGCTGCACGCTGCTGTCTGTGTCCATCATCCGTGATTTCAACTTCTTCACGTCAAGGCTGTCCAAATTTTGGATACTTTCATACGTTCCCTTACTGTTGTTAATGGTATCAAAAAATACCAAAGCTTTAAAAAAAAACTTCAGATCTTCAGTCATATTCGACCGAAAGCTGAATGATTCGATCTTGGGTCCCTAAAACTTCTATATCAGCTGCTGTGGTATCAAAACAGGCGTCTAGTATCATATCACAATCATGTGACCAAACTACTCCAGTTAGATCTTTATCTGTCGTCATGCAGCAGGTGAACTCTTCTTTTCTAAGTGATGTCCACAAACTGCAGTTTACCCTGCCTCTCTCCGCTCCATCAGAAGACGTTCCTCCCTTACCGCAGACACAAAGGAGGCTGCTTTACTTTTTAATGCCGGCCGCTCCCGCTGAGATGCACCAGCAGAGCTCCTGCTGTGCTTTGAAGTGCATGTTTGATGCTGTGTATGATGTTCCGTCAGGATTTTCAAGTCAGAGATCTCCGCCTTGTATTTGCTCAAACTGATTAATAAACAAGACCAGTCAAGCTGTCAAACTCAAAGCAGCTCGTCCTTCTTCTTTTTTTTGACTTCTTTGAGTGCTTTCTTTACTGTAAAAGAAAAACAGATGAAACAGATGAAATTCAACGATACCAGCGCGCCTTACGCCTCCAACTTTCTTTTCATTTGTGTTTTTTTCCCTCCTGGACCTAATGTGTGAGATTCAGTCCTGGCTGCGCCTGTTGCACCTGCAGCAGCCGAACACTTCCTCTGCCCCCTGACTGACCGACCCAGCCGGCACCTCGGCTCTGTGTACCCTCTTTCATCCTCCCCTCTCCTCCCTTCTCTTCCTACCGCCCCTTTTCATCCATCACTGGCCTCCGCTGTGTCCCTGCCAGTTCACATTCTGCAGCACTTAAAAGGAGGGAGGGAGAAGGAGGGAGGCTGAACTGCCTGTGCCAGCCGCAGTCAGCTCCACGGCCAAGGTGCCAACGTGACGAATCACTGTTGTCTCACGCATGATGGAATTTCCATCACTACAGTCGTCTGCGTGAGAGCTTAGCAAAAAAAAAAAAGGGACTTTATATTCCTGGAAGTGTTACTGTGAGGATGTTCTGTACCTTCTGGCTCTGCAGCCACATAAACATGCTTTATTGACACAGGAAGTAGAGAGGGAGAGGGAGCAGAACCTCGGTCCAGCTCGGTAGTCTGGAGTGCAAACGAAACCTGATTGGAGCAGAAGGGTTAAGATGCTGAAAGAAGGAGATGGTTAAGCTAAGCTCCCATGTTGAAGACATCAGGGGCTGAGACCCCGTGGATGTTTAGCTCCCGGCTCCGGCTCCTGGCAGGAGAGCCCCAATAAAGCAGGCTATTAAAGCGCTGCTCCTTCCCGAAGGAGTCAGGGGAGTTAATCAGAACCAGAGCTCTGAATGAAACCGCTCTGTAAACGCTCAGACCACAGCGATCTGATCCTGGATACTGGAGCTTAAGGTTCCCGGTTTAACCCAACCGTGGGGGCTTGACCTTCCGTACCAAGAATCCCATGTAGTTCTCAGCAGGCACAGCAGATCTGGTGACTGCTCTCTATTTATGTTCTGAATAGATATATGGAACCAGGCGCCAACAGCCCGGGCTACACGTTCTAATGAACCACATTTCTGCACTCTCACTTGTTTGCTCCCTATCTTAAGATATATGGCGGGTTGCCTAAGCGCTCTGCTCCACAGTGATCTGTGTTTTGCTTCATTCATGCACGTGTGGGTGTCTGCTATGAGGCCAACACTGCTTCCCCTAAAGCCCCAGGGGTCCACGTCTGCTAAATAATCACTTTACCAGCTCCTATGCACTTCTAGCCAGGTTTCAAGAATGAACTGACAAACCTAAAAAGAGAAAAAATCGAATACATTTTCCTTTTCTTCCAAACACAAACTAGATACGGGAAAACATACCACCACTCTAATAATCAAAGCTTTAAAAATGGGGATAAAATCGAAGAAACCTTAGCAGAGCCACAGCGATGCATGCTGTGTTTTTGCAGATCTTGTGTAGTATATGTTGTGTTGTTTTGCATTGATTTGTGCCTTTCTGTTTACATGTAGATGGGTTTTTCTATTGTTTTTTATTTATCGATTATAATGTGGAGGCAGCTGACTTTATTATCCCCATATTTTTGCCTTGACTCCACTCAGTGCTGCACACATCAAGCTGCCTCAACAAGACGTCTAAGAAATAAAATCAATCAAAACAACATCAGAGAGTAAACAGAGAAGCACATCCCGAGACCAATGGAAAGCACAAACAACATCAAAGGCTGAACTGTTGTCGAAGCCTCCTCTCAGCTTGTACATGTTTGTTAAATGCCTGCATGTGCATGCATGGTGCTGTGGGAGTGAACTACTCCGTCCCCATCCGTCCGGTGGAGGCCAGAGGCCAGCATGTATTTTGGACGTGGGCAGGAAGCCTCTGGACCTCCCCAGGATGTAGCTGTCAGCTGATCTCCCCTCTGGGAGAGGAAGGAGAAGAGGAGGAGAAGGGAGGAGAGAGGAAAAGAAATTGGCAGGTGTGGATGGGACAGGACAGGAGAGTGGGGGTTGGTGGCTCTGGTGGGCCGACAGTGACATTGGGATGGTCTGTTAAAGAGATAAAAGGCTCCACATTACTCCCCTCCTCTCTCCTTGTGTCTCCCCTTCAGCCTCCCTCCCTGCACGAGCTGATCTGCAGCTGTAGATGCTGCGTGTAATCCTTTTAGGAGGAGAGAGGCAGAACCTGTGCACACGTGTCCTCTGAGCGTCTCCACGTTCAGCCATGTCCTCTAAAGATGGACATATATTTCTATTTCTATCCCGAGCTCAGCATATAGCTAACACATGTTACCTCCATCCTGCTGTAACGCCTGTGTGTGATACAGCTGGATGGCCTTTGACCTCTAACCCTGCCCTCGCTCTCTGTCACCTAGAAAAGCAACAGAACAACCCTCACATCCTCTTTCACACTCGCACAAAACTCCTGGAAACTTTTCGGGGAGATCTCCGTGTGTGAATGAAATCAGCCATTTAATTTTTTACTCTGACTTCACCCACACAATTTTTTTCCCTGCCAGCACCCAAAGTGAAATCGGCCAAGTTTGGGAGAAAAATGTTTCCTTTTGTTTTTTTTTAAACTCTCAGGGTGACATGGTTTCGACTGGAGATGCTAACCTAGTTTCTTTATCTGACAAATGGAGCACAGATCTCAGCGGACAAACATCTGGAGCCTTCCTCACTCGGTGTCTGATTTCAGGCTGGAGTTCTTTTCTGTTGTAGTCTGTGTATCAGGGGTTTTAGCCTGTTTTTCTTCTTTTTTTTGCAGTGCAGGTTAGAGCCGGTTTCTGTCCACCCTGCACAGACAGTGTTTAGGAAACAGAGAGAGAGAGAGAACAGGAAAGGCAGAGCAGGCAGGGAAGAATAGAGGGATATCCCCTTTCATGGTTCCCTCCTTTTTCCTCTAGGATAGAGGAGGTGAGAACTTCGGAAAGGGTGGGGGGTTGGTAAATCACACCACCTGTCTTCACACACACACACACACACACACACACACACACACACACACACACACACACACACACACACACACATATATGTACACATGCCCTCGTGACCATTCATGACCACAAATTCTGTCGTTCATGCCAACACTGTGTGACGTGTGTCTGTCAGCTGCTGAGAGATGTCCTCTCTCTTGCCCTGTCTGTCTGTGTGTGTGTGTGTGTGTGTGTGTGTGTGTGTGTGTGTGTGTGTGTGTGTGTGTGTGTGTGTGTGTGTGTGTGTGTGTGTGTGTGTGTGTGTGTGTCCAGAGACCCTCAGATTAGCCCTATGTGGCCCAGATTACAGCAGGATCAGTGCTACCACATATTACAGCGACCTGTGAACCCTCATTGAGGCGATGGGACAGTCTGGGCTTTAGGGGCTGAAATCCACATTTTTAATTACACTTCAGCAGAGAGGAAAAGTACAGTAACCCGTTCACACTAGCTGTTGTTTACTCTGTGCTGGGAATCATGTACGCCATCTTCAAGTGTCAGAGGGAAACAGCGTGTTTGGCCAAAGGGGGGGGGGATGTAGGGTTTTAATTTCCAGGCTCTGTGTCTCATTTGCTTTCCCCCAAACAAATGTGACGTTTCTGTTCTCTGCTTTTCAAATCAGCCCTTGGCCCCCTAGTGGCTGCAGCTGGAAACGCCTCTCCAGAGAGGGGGAAAACATCTTGATAAATCCATCTGACAGGAGAGAATTAGACCTTTCAAAACGCTCTCCTGATGTCTCTCCTTATGAAACATCATATTTCTCCAGGCAGAGAGGCTCATCTCTGATTTTCAATGTCAACTTCTTGCATCACAGCTGACACTTTGTCTGTTTTTTCCTCTTATCTAATTCAAGGTGCCACCAGGGACGTCGGCTCAGCTCTGACGAGGATGTGTATGCGCCACCGCAGCATTGAAGCAAAATTACGCCACTTCACCAAGTAAGTGTCACCTGTGTTTTTTTTTTTTTTTTATCCCTCCACATGCAATTTTCTGTCCTCTCTTCCCTTGAGGGGATTATTTTGTTCCCTATAGTCCCATCTCTTCTCAGCCGACCTTCCTCTCATTCCGCAATCTCCACTGAGTGTTTTTATGAAGTGGAAATAAAGTTATCTGCCTCTGACTCTCTCTCTCTGCAGCGTTCTTATGGAAGGTCTGGTGACGCCGCTCCAGGACAGGATAGAGGAGTGGAAGAAGACGGCGAATCAGCTGGACAAAGACCATGCCAAAGGTGACCAATCAGAAAAACACACAAAATAAATCTGAGCACTGCATATCGGATAGAAATATAAATATTCTTTGCTGTTTGTGCTCCACAGAATACAAGCGGTCTCGCCAGGAAATCAAAAGGAAGTCATTAGATACGCTCAAACTCCAGAAAAAAGCAAGAAAAGGTGAGACAATCTTGACCTGTCAGTTATTAAAAGCTGTCAGACTGAGGCTTCTCACAACTATAAGACTCATATTCAGGCTTCTGCTCGACTCTTGGTCCCTGGTTCAGATTGAACTGGCGCCATCTAGAGTACAGAATCAGAAATAACTCAAACTGCCTGGCACTGAGGCTTCTCTTCAGCTTTGGATGATTTATCAGTTTCTGTCTCATAAATCAAACCAATGATCTTCCTCCCTGGCTGTACTTGCATTAGACCCTGCTGCTGGTTGTAATCAAACTCATATTCTCATAAAGCCGAGGTACGGGCTCGTCATTAACCTGCGACGAGCTCTCATTGTATGCAGCTAACTCTGCCTGTTCTTCTTTCTCTCTCTCCCCTCCACCCCCTTGCCTGCCCTCTAAACCCCCCTCCTCTCTTTAATTCTGCCTCTTTCCTCTGGCTGTAGAGCTTCTAGGTATGTTTGCCCTTCAAAACCCTCATGAGAAAATCATCATAATCATCTTTTGATCAAACTGCCAGTCAAAGAAAACCTCGGGATGTTTTCACATTTTTGGTTATTGGAGGGCTTTGCAGAAAACCTGGTATTTGACTTTTGGGGAAAAATGCTCGTTTAATTTATTGCTGAGAGCTATTTGAGAAGTTCGATTTACCGCTCTTATGTTCTCTAGATATGAATATTCAACCAGGAACTGCTTAGCTTAGCTTAGCTGAGCATAAAGACTTGAAACAAAGGGACTCAGCTAGCCTAGCTCTGTAAAAAAAAAAAAAAAAATGCCTCACAGCTTCTCGTTCACTTCTCTTACACATTCACTAATTAACCTGATTTATCTTGTTTGGTGCATGCAGAAATATAAGGTGGCATGTTGCTGATATGGCCAAGCTAGCTAGTGTCCTCTTTTTGTTGTTTCTAATCTGTATGCTAAGCTAAGCTAAGTGGTAGCTTTACATGGCGGACGGATGTTAAGCAGGTTTTTTCTCATCTAACTGTTGTAAAAGAGTGAATTAGTATATCTCCAAAAAGTGCTGCACTGCTATCCACTATTGCAAGTTATAAATCCATAAGTAATAAAGCCTGAGTTGTAGCAGGACGTGTGCAGGTGATTTGTCCAGCACAGGTATTTTTTCAGACCCTTTAGAATAAACCTCCTCAACCTTCTGAACAGATTTTAAAAAGAGAAGAGAACAGAAAATAATAGAGACCAGGAAGCTGCTAAAACACAGCAGCAGGGTTCAAACGATAAAACTATACTTTGTACTTGTTTCTTTAGGTTGTGAAAGTAGTAGCTGTGAGTTAACCAAACATGTGAAGGTATCCTGCAGGGTAAGGACTTTGAACTGGCAGAGAACGTCTTTGTACATCCTGCATTCAGAGGGACGGAGAATTTGCACGTTGGGTCATCTTCATCACACGTTTTTCTACTCTCATCTTCTGCATCTTTGAGCGTCGTTGTGTTTTCCATTCTAGAGGGACTTGAAGAACATCTTGTTTACTCTCATGTGCAATCATTTCCATTCCAGGAGTCACCGCTTCTTCTACATCAGCTCATTCTTGATGAAATGTTTCATCGCCCTGTCGTTCCCACGTTCATGAACCGTTAGAGTCTGTCAGTGCAATGGCTTTATGTAGACGAGCAGTTTATCATCATGTGTCTTAATCATCTCATTTTGTATTCTTTCCATCCTCCCTCTATGTGAACACTTCATAACTATCACCCGTCCAAACTCCCAATCTTTTTCCGTCCTCCTCGTCTCTCGTCTCTCTCGTCTCTCCCTTCTTGACCCTCGAACAACCCTGAACCTCCTGACTCCGCCCTCCCTCCCCCTCCTCTGCGTCTCCTCACCCTTCCTTTTCCTCTCACAGGCCGGGGTAACTTGCGCCCCCAGCTGGACAGTGCCATGCAGGATGTGACCGACCTGTACCTGCTGATGGAGGAGACGGAGAAGCAGGCGGTGCGCAGAGCCCTCCTGGAAGAGAGGGGGCGCTACTGTACATTCATCAACCTGCTGCAGCCTGTGGTGGTGAGACACATTCAGCCCTCGTACAACTAAGACATAAACCTTTTCTTCTTTTGAAGCTGTTGTTGTTTAACTTCATCCCTCATGTGCCACCTCCAGAACGTAGAGATCGCCATGCTGGGAGAGATAACGCATTTACAGGCGATTGTTGATGACCTCACGGTGCTGACTGAAGACCCACACAAGCTGCCACCAGCCAGTGAGCAGGTGAGAGAGCTGGAATACGTCTCATTTCAATACATATAATCCAAGCGGTAACCTCCGGTGTTAATGAAGCCAATGCTGAAGTGTAAAATCCTGCAGTTCCTCGAGTGTCCACTAGAGGCTGGCTGCAGAAGCACAGGAAGTCACATACACACCCATTCAAAAAAGCCTGTTTTTACAGCAGAGATTAACATGTTTACAGCCTGGTTAAAAAAAAACCTGTCAGATTAGTTATTGTCATCACATTCATCAAAATGAACGGCTCCATTTAGATTTTATGAATGATGCATGTTATCCATAGCGTGTAACTGGCATGATTAAAAGGTGGGCGGGATGTAACGGTTCATCAAGAGGCCTAAAACCCGCCTCAGCTTTCAGCCTTTCCTTGGGTTGACTGAAAGTTAGACTGAGACAGTATTTCCAGCATGGCGGCTGCTGCCGATGATCCTTTGGAGGCCCCCCCCCCCTAAATCTGGTGTTTTTCTTGATCCATCTCTTTATGAAATAAAATTAGACAAACACTTTATTGTACCAACAATTCTATCCATCCAAAGCCTGATGTTACATATGTTCAGTGACACTGACCTTAAATGTAAAAATAAGGACATATTCTAAGAAGGTCTGTGTTTAATTTTTGATATTTGCAAACCCTAACCCTAGGGGTCTAAGGTATTTAAAGGCATTTCTCAACTACACAACCATTCACCCATCAAGTGCAACAAGACGATCAGCAGGATGACCTTTTCTGCCCCCCCCCCAATCACCACCCACCTCTCTGTGTCTGCACAAACCTTTCCTGCTGTTAACAACCGCAACTTGCTTCAATGCTTTTAGTAATGATTCAAAGTAATTCCTTAAAATCCCTCTAAATCAGTGTTTTTGTCCTGCACCGTGGTGCTACCGCGGCGTCTCTCTGTCGTGGCTGTTGTATCATCACTGTTGGATTTTTGTGTGTTTGCAGGTGATCCGGGACCTGAAAGGTTCAGACTTCAGCTGGTCCTACCAGACCCCCCCTTCCTCCCCCAGCAGCACCGGCTCCAGGAAGAGCAGCATGTGCAGGTACATCACACACACACACACACACACACACACACACACACACACACATTCATATACATTTTGTCGCTCTTTGTCATGTTCAGAGTGTTGATCTGTGTTGTGTTGCATGTTTTGTTGATGGTTTACTTTATTTATGCGGCTTGTTGTCAAGTTTCTTTGGGAGCATGAATTCCTGCTTGAAGCCACTTATTCACACGCTGGAAAAGGATTTAAATACTGAATGTTGTCATGAATACCTGAGCAGGTCACTCCTGTCCCTCAGCACACAGACGCACTCTCAGGTACCATCGTTGTGCAGAGCATGGCGTCTCTTGCCAGCTTCTCGGCTCTCGGCTCTTGTCAGATTTGCGGTTCTCAAGCTCCTTACAGAAAGATTAGGTCCAAAGCTGTGAAACATCACAGGCTGACAGCATCGAGCCTGCACAAGAACCAAAATCCAGGTATTCATAGTCTAATGATGATTGTTCAACTGTTTATTTATAGTGTTATATGAGCAGTGCATTTAAGGACGAGAAGTGGGATTTTCTGTTCAGGTGAACCCATTGAGTGTTATGTTTAGGGAACAAGAAACCTTGTGATCACAGCTCATCACCTTCCCTCAGTGTGAACGGAGTGTGGCTCATGTTTATATCAATTAACACCGCAGCCTATTTTTAGTGCTCTATATTTATTCACATGCAGTCACTGATTTATGTTTGAGTGTCTACATTTAGCTCATTAAAGTTGTAAAGCCCAGTGCAGAGAGGTTGTTAAGGCAGGATATTATGAGTCAGTGAAGGGCTCGCTCCTCCCAGACGTCCTTGGTTTCGGCCTGACCGCTGAACATTTCTCGGTTTCTCCAGCGAGCTGAAAAAGTTTTTTAATAAGCTGCAGTTCATCGAATTTTCTGTGCTTGCAGAGAGGCGTGCAGTGAGTCTGTTGTGAGTTAAAAAAAAAAAGAAAATCCAAAGATTACAGGATTTTCTCTGTGCAACAGTGATGTACCAAAAGAATAGGAAATTGTGATGAAGAGACAAAGATTTCTGCAGCAGGATGGAGAGAAAAAAGCTTACTGAGAAAGTCTTAAAGGCACAGAGGAGCCACTCAGGGGACGTAAGAATAGTGTCTGCTTCTGAATGATTTCAGGTTATTTAATTTGTCATATTTAATTTGGCAATCCTCCTTAAGCCTCACCCTAGAGGACGCAGATTAAGGGGGAACGATAACTTCAGATATATTCCAGAGGGGGGGGGGAGAGTGTGTAGCACATTTTCAGTGCGTGGGTGACAAAGAGAAGTGAGAACGACAGAGCAGCAGACAAAAAGCCCAGAGACAGCTGTTCAGAGGGAAAGAATAATCAAAGACGGGATGACTTGTTAATGCTGTTTGATGCACAACATTTAGGAGAATGGCATCATTTAGAATCTTCACACACAGAGCCTTCATGTTCTCGGCCTCTCGTCATGCATTTTTCATTAAGCTTCTGTGTTTTACTGCCCGGCTTGGACTCAAATCCCCCCAAAAACAAGTTTTCAGAACAAAAACACGGAGAGAAAATCTTGATCACGATCCTGTTTTACATGCAGACTGCGAATTTTAATGGAATATTCACAAAACGATTTTAACAAGGAAAAGTGCCGTCATTACTCTCCATAAAAAGGTTAGAGGTGCATCGTCACTGCCTGGGGAATGGATCATGGGTGAACATTAATGCTGCAAAAACAAACTGATGGCAGCCATGACAGACAGCTTGGGTGCAAGAAAGCAACTAATTATAACTTCACATTAAGTTAAATCTGTGATTGAAAATGTAAGAAACTGAAGAAGGCAATTTACAAATGCAATCATCATTTATATGTTCTCTCGTGCAGGCTCCTACAGGGAGCTCTGACAATCATGGCAGACTGTGACACTCTGCACATGCTCACAGTGTCATTGGACAGTTAAGTGAATATAAACATGGACGATGCATCTCCCTCTCAGAAGGCATAAAGCGGGGCACAGGTGGGGTGGTAGTTTGTGTGCCCCATGTAGGGAGGCTATAGTCCTTCATGTGGGCGGCCTGGGTTCAGGTCCAAGCTGTTGCTCTTTTCCTGTGTGTCTTTCCAAACTCTCTCTCTCTCCCTGATTTCTGGCTCTGCCTGTTCTTCTGTCTCTGCAGTGAAGTCACAAAAAGCGCCATAGCTGCTCCTGTTGAAATCTGATGACCGTAGTTTTCATGTGTTGCTCTCTGAAAGACAACGTGGATACATGACGGGAGTTTTTGGGTTGTGATTTGATAAAACGTATGAAAAAATCATGCAAATTGAAGAAGAAGTAAATATTGCTGGAAACAAAATGCCTTTTATCTCAGTGATATCATATCATATGATCCCCCTCCTCCACCTTTTCAAACAGTCCCCTGTGGTCTAAATTAAACATCTGTGCTGTGCTTTGGTCAAAATATAACATGAATCAAGCACCAGAGGAGGTCTGTGACCCTGTATACACCAGCTCTGTCAGAACACTCCGTTTTGGTGAGTGTCTCGTTAAATGTGATGAGCCCCCCCCCGAGTTTTCCCAGTAGACATCACTCCTTCACTAGCGAGAATAAAAACGGCAGACCTGCGCAAAAGTTTTGTTCTAGGCTGGGGGTGGAGTCCATGAGTGGCGATACCAGCAGAGGGGAAGGGATTTATTTTTACCAGAATCCCACTGTGACATCACAAGGAGAGCACATTTGGAACAGAGTATTTTCTCTGTTGTAAGACTTATGCAGACCACAAACACAGGACTGGATGGGTTTATTTCACATTTTGTGGGTCAGTAGACACTCAGGTTACCTGAATATATGTTCAACAACACTGTAGAAGTGGATTTTTCATAATATGTCCCCTTTAAGTTAATAAATTGAGAATGAAAGATGATACAAATCACGATGTGTCGAGTTCAGTTAATCTTCCTGTTTTTGTTTTCTACTGAAGCCATGCAACAATACATTTTATTTAACTCTGTTTTCCCGTGATAACGAGTCATTTCTGTAGATCTCAACTTATTAGTCTCATCATCGCAGGATAACTGCGCTGGTTTGTCTGAAAACTGGGGAAGTTCTGTCGCTTTCTTGAGAAATAAACTTTTTATCACATGAAAACCGTCGTTGTTATCCCAAGAAAACGAGATTAATTAGATGAGATCTCAACAGAAATGGACTAGCTAACAAAGTTAAATAAAAGTGTATTGGTGCATGTCTGCTTAGGGCTTCTGTAGTTTTCATTAAAGCATTATCATATTTTAAACACACAGAGTTTAAAACAGATGTGATTCCCTTCACAGTCTCCTTCAGATGCCCTCTGCAGGAGCCCATCGGCTCAGCAGCGTCTCCTCCCACGACTCAGGCTTCGTCTCCCAGGACGCCAACACCCACTCCAAGCCTCCGTCACCCATGCCCTCTGACATCGCCAGCCAGGTAGCAGCCACAAACACGCTGACTCACTTATCACGGGGAAACAAGGTATTTCTTAGCGCGGTAGATCTACATAAATCTCCCCGATTAACAACACTACTTCCCTATGTGGCACTTTCAATCTTTTCTAATTTTTCATTTCAGTCACAAACCTTGTTCACAATAACCAGGCAGCACTCTGAATTTTTACTGCAACACAGCTTTACCAGCTGCGAGTGTGGAATTTTTTGTTCCCACTGGGCTGATAAAGTTATTCAGACTCTCACGCTCTGAACATATTGCAGCGTGGAGAACACACTGTGCAAAAACCACAGCACACCAACTGATGCAATGTTCTTTTCTGAATAAAAGATCTTACTGGGTGCTTTATTTTCGATCCGGGCGATGGTATATAGATCCCCTCAGAGCTGAAAAAACCCATCCTCCACAAGCTCATCAACACTCCTCTCCTACTCTCACCCCTGCATCTCTATCACCTCTTCATATAACATCCTTTACACACTCCTCTCACCTCCCTCTCTGTCTCCATTTCCTCATCCAACCCTCTGTTTTTTGCTCCATCTTCCCTCTCCCAGAAATCAACTAGCTCTGCCTCCTCGGAGGCTTCAGAAACCTGCCAGTCTGTCAGTGAGTGCAACTCTCCTACAGCGGTTAGTACTGCATGCATTTCAACCATCTACCTCCTGTATTGGAAACACACACACACACAGACGCACATGCACACCACACACACACTCACACACACTTTGAGCTGTGCATTGTTATCTATAGCCTATCTATATCTAAGTGTCCTGTGGGCTCCACTCGACAGCCTCACAGCGCTGTGACGTGGACTCTTCATGGGTGTTGAGCACTCTGACTCACACTTGTCTGTCCGTTCCGCAGTTTGGCTCATGCTCATCCTTCGGTACCTTTCGCCCTGCTTTCTCTCACACTGGCACCATCAGGCCTCTCTCTGTCATACTTCCTGCGTCCCCCACATTTAACCACTCCCCTGGATCCAACACCCCCTCACCCACATCAAAGGGTCCTAGCTGGAAGGTTTGTTTTTCATTTGCAATTTTTCTTTTGCTTTGACTCTTTTTTTTTTAAATACTTTGTTGCTTCTTTGCTCTTTGTGTCTTACTGCCTCATCTAAGATTGACCTCACAGTCACATTTTTCTGTTGCTCATCGAGCTTAGTTTACTCACAAACTGAGACAGCTTCATCATTTAATATCACTAACATAGCCTGATGAAGTCTGCCCCATATCGACATCGGCATCTACCCAGTTTATGAGCCAAATAAGCAGCTTGCATGTGAAGTCGACTGCATGACGGCTGGGTGGCAAACATTTGAGATGCACACTGAGAGGAGGGTCTCATAGCTCTGTCTGCTGCTGCAGGACTGGGCCAAATCGAGTTCCTGTGAGCCGTCGTTGGCGAGCACTTTGCATCGCAGGAGGGAGTCTATGGAGAAGATGAGAGAACTTGAAACTCCGCCTAGTCCACTGGGGTATTCTGGGATGCAACCAGATGATCCCTACCGAGCAAGAATTGGCACAGGACCCATCGCAGCAAAGGTGAGTGTGGAAATGTAAATGTCATACACATTTCTATACCTTGGGAGCTGAAGTGTGGGGAAATGCATATGTAAATGTGTCCTAATCTTTATGTATTTTCTACCCACCTGTGCGTGTATGTGTGTGCATGTTGTGTGTGTGTGTTTGCATGTTGTGTGTGTGGTGTGTTTGTGGGCGGTTTCCAGCATGGCGAGCCGCTCTCTCCAGCAGCCAGCACTCTGGCGATGGTCCTGACCAGAGGCCTGAGTATGGAGCAGCAGAAGAGCAGCAGGGACTCTCTGCAGTACTCCAGCGGCTACAGCACCCAGACCAACACCCCCTCCTGCTCTGAGGACACCATCCCCTCACAAGGTAACACTCCAGCTTAAAACACACACACACACACACACACACGCACACACACGCACACACACACACACACACACACACACACACACACACACACACACACACACACACACACACACACACACACGTGATGTACCCACGCTGCTCTGCATCTCCCTCTGGTTGTTCCTTGACATTTTGATCAAAGTCTTTGCATTTCTAAACTGTGATTAGAAAAAGCACAGCTCTGTTAGCTTTCAGTGTTAACGTGATAACTGTGATTGATTATTTATGAAAGGTTGTTTCGCTGTCAAATTCATACTCTAAAGATAGTTCCCGTACGTCATGCAGAAGAAAAATAAATGTCTCAACACTCGCTGTCTCCTCCAGGTTCCGATTATGAGTGCTACTCTCTTAATGGGGACGCTGACAGTGAAGGACAGGCGGACTTTGACAAGTCCTCCACCATCCCGCGGCACAGTAACATCGCTCAGAGCTATCGCCGCATGATCCAAACCAAGAGGCCGGCCAGCACAGCGGGTCTGCCGGCAGGAAAGACCCTGCAGGGAACTCCAAACGGCTCAGGGGGGAGCAGCTCTGGAGCCATTACCTCTGGGACCGCAACCATCCGCCGAACACCATCCTCAAAAACTGGAGTGAGACGCACGCCGTCTACGTCTGGCCCCATTCCAATTCGGCCCCCCATCGTGCCAGTTAAGACTCCCACGGTGCCAGATTCTCCGGGGTATGCCAGCCCGTCTCAGCACCGTTCAGGCAGCGAGGAGTTTCTGTACAGTGACGACCCAGCAGCTGGTGACTACATGCGGGCGTCTCCCAAGCGGATGAGCCTCCCTGACACGTCCTGGGGGTGTGGAGGAGGGGGGGCAGACAGGACTGGTTACGCCCAGCAGGATCCTTGCATGGTCGCCCACAACGCTGAGGAGGACCCTCTGCTGGCTGCAAACCGCCACAGTCTGGTGGAGAAGATAGGGGAGCTGGTGGCGAGCGCCCACGCCCTGGGGGAGGGTCATTTCCCCTTCAGCAGCTCTTTGCCAGGCGATGCGGCTCAGTGTGCACCTCAGGAGCCGTCCTCTGAGACTCAGGAGGACATGGATATGCTGGTGTCGATACGCCGCGGGGTGAAGCTCCGCAAGACAGTGACTGACGACAGGTCGGGTCCCAGGATCCTGCGGTAGCTGAGGGAGCGGAGCAGCTGATGTGCTCTTATTTACAGACTGAAGCTTTGTAGTGAAACTCAGCAGCACTCATGTGAGGCATGAACTGAGGTACAACTGTCAAGTCAAGAAACAGTCAAATAGGTTTCCAGCTTGTAAAATAGTTTTGTAGCTGCAGAAAAAAATAATCTGTGCATGTGTGAAAAAAGTTTTGAAGACAGTATATGTATTCGTTCTTAAAATGTGTGCAGGAATATTTTCAATTATTAAGTCTGAGCATCAGATACACAAAAGTCCTGAGTGTGCATGAGATCCTGAACTCACCAGCTGCAGACTTTTTTTCACTTGCATGACTAACAGCCATCAACATGTTACCAAATGGCCCATTCTATCCAATTAGAGAAGGTCAAACTTTCCAATCCGAGGGTGAGAAGGTCCGTGTCGCAGGGAAAGCGTCCGAGTTTCTGCCTAATTGGAAAATGAGCATGTAGCATGAATATACGGAGTGTGAGGATCCTCTGACCTCACACTCCGATAAAACTCACCATGGTGGGTTCATTTATCATGCTCTGGAAATGAAGGCAATGTCTTTGAATAAATTAAAGGATGCTACTCTCAAAGTAAACAATGAGCTGACCACAGCTACCGTTAACTGCATCACCATAAACATGACAGCTACTCATTCACAGAGATGTACCTGTTATTAAATGTCCTGAGAGCAGACAGACTGACGCTATCCTTAAAACCTGAAGCTTACAGGATATTTCTACAAATACAAACCTTTGTCACATATGCACAAAATATTTCTACATCTACACAACTTGTATTCAAGCTGAGCTGATATCTGACTGTGAATTGGCTCCATATAAAACAAAGAGGATGTCAGATGAGGTGAATGAAGGTTCACAGAGTGATGATGAGTGACCATGGACTATGGCGAGTCTTTTCATGTCATGTATGTATATTGCGTACGTACAAAGTAATCCATATTTTCTTGGTTTTTATTCTCTCTTTTGTTTAGTTTCTGTCTGTGCGTCTTTGCCCCCCGGTTGTTTTTTCAGCCCATTTTGTCCCGTTAGGCCGAGTGTTGTCACTGCTGTAGGGATGGAATGCTCCGTGTGTCTTTGTTCTTGCTCTTATGATTATTATAATATTGTGTGTTTCTGGTTAACACCTGCAAAGTGATGGGTGCAGTGCTCCGTGAGCCTGTCTGTATGTTGTTTTCATCATTACTGTATAAGTACCGTATTACTGTTTTGTTTGAGAAGCTGGCCAGCAGCTGTGTAAGTCATGTAAATTAGGAGCAATATGGCAGTGTTTTTATTGCTGTACTGTACTGTCGATATATTCTGCTATTAAACCGGCTTTTTACTGTTCAAGGCTTCGACTGTCTTTGATGGGAAAATTATGGAAACAGAGTAAAAAAAATATGAGAGTGAAATGTGATGATAAAAAAGGCTTATGAGATAACGTTTACTTTATTGTTCCTAAATGGAAATGTGTCTTGTACTCTGTCCTGCAGTTACAAGAGATTTAGAAAGTTCATAAATGGATTTCAGTTCCACATAAACATATAAACACCTTCCTGCAGCCGTGACATACTGACATATTGCACGGCCCCTTGGTACATCATCCTACACCAACTCTGAGATTAAAAAGAATGTGTGATGTAAAAATTCTACAAAAATTCTGATTCACAAATCAGAGAGTAAGAACAACACAATAAGGGATCTAGAGAGGAGGAAACAACGTCAGGAAGTGCAAACGAACAGCTTTAAGTCTGAATGGACACACAGGTGCTGACAGGAAGTGACCGGAGACAGAGCAGAGGTGGTGACAGGAAGTGACCAGAGACAGAGCAGAGGTGCTGACAGGAAGTGACCAGAGGTGCTGACAGGAAGTGACCAGAGGTAGAGCACAACACCGACATCTGTTCTTAAGAGTTCTAATCAGCATCAAAACCATCCTAAATATTGTCATCATCATCATTAAGGTCGTAGGTATTTTTAAAGAGCTGGGTCTTTAACTTTTTCTTAAAGGTGCAAAGGGACTCTGCATATCGAATGGAGTTTGGTTGCGACAGAGGAGAAGAGTCTAGTTAGAGACTTAAGACCCCGATGTGAAGGTTGGATCAGACGCCTTTCTTTGGCAGAGCGTAGTGGGAGGGAGGGAGTGTAGACCCCAAGTCATACACTTTGAGGTTGTCATAAATACGAGATAAGAATGTTGACATTTTGCAATCAAAAGTCAAAATTATGACATGATAGTCGAAATTATGAGATGTTGAGATTTTATAATTATGACCATTGATCTCATATTTAAGACTTTTGATATCATAATCATGACTTTTGACTTCCTATTTAAGGCCTTTGATCTCCTAATTCAGAGCTTTTATCTCATAAATTTTACTTTTGATCTGCTTATTAAGACTTTTTTAGACTTAAGACTTCATTATTTTGACTTCTGATCTTGTAATTTTGACTTTTGATTTTTTTTAATCTAACTGTATGATTTGAGATAAGCCGTGTCTATCATAACGCTTCATGACTTGTTCCATAGAAGATAAAATGTCCTGAATAACAAAAACAAGGCTGAACATCCGTTCTGCTGGGGATGGAAGCTGCAGCATCCGTTCCTGTATGTATCTTTATTCTGTAACAGTCGGTATATTTACAACATCTTAAATAAGATTTTAGTGTTTTTCCCCAGCCTTATGAAGTTTTATATCTTCATAACCCTCTCCGCTTTAGAGTTTTGATACTGTGGAGTTTTATTCCCTCATTTTATTTCCCTTCTTCAGTTTTTTAACACTGCAGTTAAACTATAATATATTTTATAAATCGTCCAGCACAGTCACTTTAATTATTCAGCAGTGTGGGGCGCTTTGATTTGATCTGAAACTCAATTTTAAACTTTTATCTCCATGCCTATTTTTTTTCTTCTTCCTGGAATCTGAATGTTTAGTCCCTCAGTTTAAGCCCCTCAGCTGTTCTTTTCTGCCACACTGCAGTTCTCGAACACGACAGATGAGGGCGCCAGAGAGCCTCCGCACGCAGGCGCCAAACAAAGCAGTAATGGAGGACATTTATCGACATTACTGCTGCTGTAAAGATATCTGACAGGCTGGAGAGATGAATGATAAGTGGGATGAAGACAAATAGAGGAAGGTAAGGACGTTTCACAGCCTTCAGGAGCGACATTAGGAAACAGACTTTACATTACTCACATTTAAAGAGAATGAAACGCTGTGTTTGTTTTGGTGTAAAAATGACAGAATCCAAAAAAAATGAACTAAAAGAAAACATGCAGCTTACACAAACTGTGACGGAATTACATTTCTAACTACATAAATAAAAGTTGCATTCAATGTGGGTGTAAAAACCCCGTCTCTGTGACTATTTTGGGCCTTCATTTAGAAAAACAAACTAAATTTTTGCAGCTGGCTGTATGAAATTTATGTTCCTGGGAGCTTGTTAAACCCCCCCCCCCATTATTCTCTGAATGAATGCTCCTGCTGGAAAACAGCCTCTAAACTGGCTGCTTAAAGCTTTTCCACTGCTCAGATGATGAACAGGGGTCTGTGCCTGGATAAGGGACCTCTACTGGAGGGTACTCCTCATGATATATGAGCAGAATGTCCATTTGGAGCCGCTCTTATTATTAAGTGGCCACATTACAGGGCGGCCTGTAAAGAATGAAACAAGGAGTTCCTGGAATCAGAAGAACTGGAGGACTGAAGCAGGGTTGAGATCTATTCAAATCTGCGTGACACTGACTCATCGCTGACAGTTCTCACTGATCTGCAAAGAAAAGTGGAGTTTTTGAAAGCTGTGAAAGGAATAGATAATGATGAACAGGCAGGAGACTCTGCTGGTCTAATCCTCTCCTCATTATCCATCCAGTTAGAATGTGCTGTGCATAAAGCCTGTTTAAATGTCAGATACTTTGTTTGTGTTTTAAAATGATACAATCTCTGATATTTTAATGATTGGTCGTATCTTAAAGTACAGAGGCTTTAAAAATAAATCAGATCTTGAGTCAAAAGCTGCTGCGAGTGAAGGAGAGAGAGAGAGTGCACGGTCTAATTTGGACAAATATGTAGTTTGACACGACGTGTTTTAAAATGATGTGTAGTGAGTTAAATGATAAAGTGACCTTACTATATGATCAGACATTAAGGAAACATGCTCTGTTGAAGTGCTGGCTTCTCTGACAACAATGCAGCAGTCAGTATGTCCTCCTTCTAACTTTAGATTCTGCTCCTGAATGCTCTGGATTTGTTTGGACCAGAGAAGGTAGGCTGTTTTAAGGCGCCCCCACACGGCCGTTTTGGATGCCCCTTGGTTTGTCAGATATGAGAGCAGTTATCAGGTCAAACCAACAGGTGTTGCAGCGATGGGAGCAGTCAAGAGAAGTGGTTCAGATTGAAGTGATTGTACCCGACCTAAAAAGCTCTCTACAATTTTTTGAATTTGGACTGCAGCACCCATTTTAAACTCTAGGTGTCAGAGATACATATCGCTCATTTAAAGCTCCTGTGAGGAGTTTTCATCTGGTAATGAAACCGACTGAAACTCAAGATTAAAGATTGATTATTTATTTGTGGTTATTTTTCATCCCTTTAAATGTTGCAGCAGAGTCAGACGAGGTGATTAGCAGCACCCTGCCAATAAAGCATTAAAAAACATTTTCCCCAGCAAAGAGTCACAGTGAGTTATATATAGGGACGGGGATTGAAACCCAGTTTCATAAAGACTCTGTATGCGTGTATGTGTAGAGTTCTGTATTTGCCAAAACCTGGAAATCAGTAACATGTGAGTTCATGGATACTGCTTTTGAGTCTCGCTCGTCCTACTCGAGTTCAGACACGTCTTCTGAATGAAATCCCTGGAGCACAAACACACATGGACAAGTTAAAGTTTTTGAATAAAATTGAATTGCCAGCCAACAAGCACATCAGCATTGTGAATCAAATTCAACCTACATGTAGGGCTGGGAAATTTCGTAGCTTGAGGCAATTTTTTGTGTGATTTTGCTCCTCTGACAATATTCATCAGCAGTACGTTAAGGACGCTGACAAAAAACATCACCCTAGTATTTCAGTGTTTCAGTCGACAATCCGATCACAGCATGGTCTTCCAGGTCTGTGGACGCTCCTTGATGATGGTGCTTGTCGAAACGATCATCCTAAACTAAAGTGCCGTTCAGACTGACGTTTCAAGCCGTTATATTTACACACCTGAGTCTTCAATCTGAATGTGGCGGACGCGTGATGGGGGGACTAAGTGATTCCCCCCTCTGTACCGTCTAAGGAGGTAGTAACAGAGACGGTTTCAGCAGAGCCAGTGGGGGACTGCAGCTCTGTGTGTGTGTGTGTGTGTGTGTGTGTGTGTGTGTGTGTGTGTGTGTGTGTGTGTGTGTGTGTGTGTGTGTGTGTGTGTGTGTGTGTGTGTGTGTGTGTGTGTGTGTGTGTGTGTGTGTGTGTGTGTGTGTGTGTGTGTGTGTGTGTGTGTGTGTGTGTGTGTGTGTGTGTGTGTGTGTGCGTGTGTGCGTGTGTGTGTGTGGAGCTCCCGCTGTGCCGTGCTTCTGCAACGCCTACATGCAATGTAAGAATCCACAGACTGGGCCACCAACATTACACAGCATCAATATGAATGTGCAAAGACGTGATGGCGGCTGAGCTGAGTCACTTTTTTTTGAATAAAGGAGTCTGAAAAGGGCTTAAGATTGCAGGGCGCCGTCTACAGCGAGCAGCTGAAGAAAACCATGAAAACGATGGCGACATATGAAGCTTCTTTAAAAAGATGGAATAAAGGTTGGCGATCATACTTGGGCAGCAGCTGCAGCTGTGGTAGATACACTTTGGCGTCCTGCCTGAGTTTCGCCCATGTGTCTGAAACGCTGCAGTAAATGTAAACGTTTGATACGTGTTTCATGTTGAAAGACTAAAATTAAGTTGATTGCACAGCTTGAGCTGAATATGACCTGATACCTAAGAACAGGCGGTAGAATCTGGTGCTCTAATCCTCTCCATGTATAGTCTATTATGTATGAGGGGTGGGGGTGAAGGTCTTTTCCACGGTCCCATGTGTGACTCGTATGGGAGGACCACCATGTATTAGAATTGATTGGTCTGCTCGGCTCAGGAATCCCTCCATATTCTTCATGTTCTCCCCAAACGGCTCGCTCATGATCCTCGCAGCCTCATAAATAGCACATTATTGAATTTACTCGATTAGTCCACTGCCTTGAACTGGTCCAGTAATGGAAACCTGCCTAATGGCTGGGGCTGCTGGGATAATTAACTGAGAACAGGATGCAGGAGTTTGATTTTGCATGTGAGCTAATGTTCACATTGGTTTCTAGAAACAGAACATCTTCACAGCTCCTCACCTCCAGCGCGCGCTGCTAATTTCCTTCTGCGCCGTCGTGTCTCCTGCGTGTTTTGATGATGTGAGAAATCTTTTAATGTGCAAATACAAAGTTGTGATTCTTTGAGGCTAAAAGGAGATACTGTTCGAATGAGTGATCATTTCTGAAAGTCTGCTAATCAGCGAGCTAACCCCGGGCTCGGCTAATCACAATGTAGATGTAAAAAAGCGCTCCCACGGCGAGCTGTGGCCCTGAAGATGTGCGCTTTGTTTCTTTTAAAAACAGGCCGCCGTGTATTACTCATTAAATTATTTTTGTCTTTTTTTTTCTACTTCAAAGTGTATTCTGTTCTCATTTAATGTGGCTCCCCAAGTCTTCAGTCAGCCTTCTTTATTCTGAGACGTGGCACTCTGAGTAAAGGCTAAAGAGGCGCTCAGTAATGAGATGGTCGGGTTGTGTTGCTGACATTTTCAAGACCTGATTGTGATGTGAAGTAACCTCCGCTGCATCATTATTGGTCAGAGTGTAAATTCTCAACCTGCTTGCGCACGTCGCTTCATAATTAATATCTTTATTAATACACAGTTGGGGTTTCTACGGCACTGCTTAAATACTACAGTCGGTGGTAGCAGCCTTCAGGGGATCACAGATCAAATCTAATTAGCTGTACCTAATACATGAGGGAAATGCCTTTATGTTTATCCAGCTCCTCTAACTGCTTTTCGCCTTCAGGATGTGATGAGGGAAAAAGTCCTGAGGGGCCCATAGGAACAGGAACACTATGACGAACAGCACCACAGAGCGGCTGCTGCTGTCGGTGTCGCAGCGTTTCCAGAAATGGATCTTTGCTGCTCTGCCAGGGGAACATATAGGGTTTCTATAAATGCTTATGATAAACATGCACAGGTGAGCAGAGAGCTGCGGGCTCAGTCATCCGTTTTAATTTTCCTGTCAGTCATTAATAAACCTCCTTGTTCCAGTTAATTAAGCCATCGGCTCTACTGAACAGTCAATTCTCATGCCAGTTTTACTTAAGAGAGCCTCGACTGATCTTTAGTTTGACAGATATCATTTGGCAGATACGGACCCATCACAGATTGTATGAGTATGGGTGTTTCTTTTGCAGAACATATACTGCAGAAAAACAATGAAGGATTCTGATTCACTAAGAAAGGACGGAGGATGCTAGTGACTCCAAAAATGTTGCAGCATTTGCTCTTTTCACTGGAACGTTTGAGCGAGACATCGCTTATAAGTAGTTCGGCGCAGTTACCACCAACTCTCAACAGCCATGTGCATTCACATTCTGCACGCAGTGTTAGACCAATTTACATACAGAGGTGCACATTTATTCCACAAATGGCTGCACCATGAGCACCGGTGCACAGATGTGTTAGCTCTGCACCTAAGTTAGGAGTGCATTTAAAAGCACAGTTTGTAAGTTCCACCACCAGGGGGCTCTCAATCAAAACAATAACAAAAGATGTCGTCGAGGCTGGCGGGGAATCATGGGAGTGATTCTCTCTGCTATTCCCCTGCCTCCCCCTGATGATATCGGCCTCTGAGTTGGCCGTAGTCATGACGACCGGGTGAAACCGACCTGAGGAAGAGAGAATATGTTTACAGATGCGCTAATGTGTCCGAGTATAATTTACATGACGTTTTTATCACAGCAGCACAAACAGCAACAGTCAACTCGAGCTTCATTGTAGACAGTCATGACTCAGAGAGACATTAACACAGGATAGACTACTTGACTTAATATATTTATGTGCAATGTCACACATTCTTCCATTAATGAGAAGTTGTGCCATTTAAAAAATAACTTCATAGACTTTTTGACACAATCTTTTTCCCAGGCACACCTTCATTACCCCCCTGAAAACGGCTCTGCGACCCACTTTTTGGTCCCAACCCACCAGTTGAGAACCACTGCTGTGAAGAAAGATGTCATTCCAGCTCATAATTTACTCTGTCCTCTGTAATATCAATAATGATTGCATCCGTCCGCTGATTTATTTATATCCATATAGGCCTCAAATATCTCTGATGACTTTGGCTCTGAATGAGTCACAGTCTGCACCGTAGAAGAAACTATCAACCCACATCTTTACCAAGTCCTGTGAACATCACCTTTATATTTCCTGTTTGTTTTTTTTACCCCGCTTTTCCAGGAAGAATATCAGACAACAAACACGAGTTACATTACGGGACCTCCTGCCCCCTCAATCCCATCATGCCTCATCTCCGAGGAACTCCGAAGCAGAGGTAGAATGTTTTTATGCCACAAGGCTACCACCTTTGCCTTCAGAAGCTCCGTCTGCCCGTGTTTGAGTAAGGGGAATGGATTCAGTCAATTATTCATTAAGTAAGCATGAAGCTTTCTAACGTTCGTCGACTGCTCTCCTCAGTCAGATCTTTTTTTTCTTGAAAGCCCTGCAGCTCCCAGTTATCTGTTGGAAAAGAGGGATAATGAGACAGTTTGATGGTTATTATTTTCTATATTCATTAAATGGCTTTGTTGTTTTTATGTTGGTGTCTCAGATAACTCCTGCAACCCTCACACTGTAAACTCTCCTCATACTCTGGCCTGAGTCCCCGTGATTGAATTAGCCTTTGCTACAGCTATCGCCTGTGCTGGCAGTCATGCTGAATTTCAGCATGTGAGACAACATGATAAAAGACAGAGTTTGATTTGCATTCACGAGGCACTTAGGAAGTTCAAAGAGGAGAAGCTACAGAGTAGATTGAGAGCTCAGCGTCCTCTCAGACACTTTCTATTTTCGATATTTCACCTTAAATGACAATAGCAGGGTGTTATATGAGGTCAGGCTCCCATCACAAGCTCCCTGTCATACTCTGGTTTGAGGTTGTTTTGGTGCGCGTGTTTGTTTTCATTCCCTCCTCAGGTCAGAGATTGGAAGGACACCAGTGAGCGTGGGATTGCTCGTGTGTCCTGGTGACACCGCCCACAGTTTGTGCCACGTTAAAGACCACAGAGATCAGCCAATATGAGCTGTGTGCTCCAGCTGCAGGCAGGCTGTGATTTAAAATTGTCTCGGGGCTCACTGCCAGTTACCAGAGTTATTGCCTGAAAAAGAACAGTTTGCTGCAGAGAGTGGATTCGGCTAAAATTGCAGTGATGGATTGTGGTTTCAAATTGATAAGGATCTTTCAGCAGGAGCTTTGATGAATTTTAAAAGTGAATAGCCTACAGATGCATCCTGAGGAACATTGCATGACATTAAATTACACGTCCAGCATAACATCATGCCTCTGATGCATGTAATTATTGATCCATGCACATGTGAAGTACAGGCTGACATGACATGGTAGACAAGCTCAATGAAGCGTGCAGTCGTGCTCTCAAGCCCATTATTTCCTTATCTCGGTGACAATTCACATCCGTCCGCCCATGTAATATTTAGTCTCCTGACTCGACACGTACCGAGAGGTGAGGGGAATGGGAAGTGTACAGGCTGTGAGAATTAGCAGAAGCCACCTACAGATTAGGTTTCGAGCGCTCTGGGTGCTCGGCATGCTGGCAGAGTTGGAAGAGAGAGGAGGAGCAATCAGGGCGACAATGTTAATTTGAACTCTGCTTTGCATATATCAGGGGCTGCAAAGACGTATGGAGCTGTGCAGAGCAGGCCGTCTTACATCATCATGTTTACACAGTTTAACAGCCCAGATCCTATCATTTGCATTTATATTGAACCATTTTCCAGGCTTTTGTAGTTTCTTCAAGCAACACATGACAGACAGCATGATTGTGTGGGCACGAGGCTGCAGAGATGCAGAGCAATGTGGGAACTGTAACCTAAACTTTGGAGAGGACTGATGAGAAAGAAGGGAGTTAAATCCGGAGTAGATGTTGTTGAGCAAGGCAGCCCTGTTTGTCACAGTACTGGGAGGCTGGAGATGTTTGACTCTTGACAGATTGGGACAGGAGCATATGTGTTTTTTTCTCTGGACAGAAAGATGAGCGATTTTCTCTCAATCAACACTTCTTAACGCTGAGAGCGGATTTGGGTTGCACGGTGTCAGACAGGAAGCCTCTTGCTGCGTGCGCACGGGCTCAGTCAGGCGGCTGTGCACAGGTTTGAGGCGGGGACCCTTCTGACCAGCACACTGGGTGGGGTTCACCGAGGAGCTCCGTCCCCGCGCGCCGCCACGCCCCCGCGCTTGGCGCTGTCCGGCGCTGTGGTGCTGAACGCTGGGTACGTTCAGAGCCAGCTGCCTGCAGCGCTGTGGCCGTGCTGCATGGAGAGGAGACGGATCTCTCAGGATGAAGAGGCGTTAAGTTCAGAGGGCTCTCCTGAAGGAACGGATCGTGGGATAACTATGACGGAAATGTGTCTCAAGTGTTTTTCTTTTCTTTTTGATTGATTTTCTCCCAGCCGCGCTGAGGCGCGTGGAGGTGCTGAACTTGCCACCAACATGATCTGGGCTGTTTTTTTATGCTGCATTCTGACGCCTGCTGCTGGATATCAAACCAAGGGTCGACTGCCTTTCTTTCACGGGCATGTTTTTGAGAACTCTCCGACGGCTTCCAAAGTAAACGGACTGAGCATTCCGGTGAGGCGCATCGACGCGCAAAAATGGTGCCCGGTCTCCGGAATGCACTTCAAACTGTACGGAAACGGCAGCGAAGATTTCCGCGCCTTCGCCCACCACAAGAAGGGGAATATTTTGTTAAAAACTTGCAGGGTTCTGGACAGAGAGGCTCGCGCAGAATACCTGCTGAGTCTGGCTCTGTGCTGTCAGAGCTGCGTGCCGGAGTCTGTCGCCTTCGAGGTCGCGTCGGTAAAAGTGGACGTGTTGGACACCAACGACCACGAGCCCACTTTTCGCAGTGCAGACAGCGTGCACATAACTTTAGATGACACGACACCTCTCCGTAGTGTGGTTTACAGGCTGGAGGCGGTCGACGCTGACAGCGGCAACAACGCAGAGTTGACATACATTTCTGTCCCCAAAAACGGCAGCTTCTATGTGGTGCCGAAAACGGGCGAAGTTTTGCTTGTTGACTCTATCCTGGGGCTCCCTTCTGAAGTCACATTCTGTGTTTTTGCCAGAGACCACGGGTGGCCCCCCCTCACCAGTAAAGGTGTAGTGGTCACCGTGTCTCCTCAGAGGTGGGCGACGCGTCCTGCCGAGCTAACGGGGTCAGGGAGGGCAGGACGGTCACCCAGGGCATTGCTCGAGCCTGGCACGGTGGTTTCCCTCAACGTGTCTGAGGATGCCAGCGTCGGCTCGGTCATAACGAGCCTGAGCCCCAGCAGGTTCCAGTCAGCCGCCTACGAGCTGATTTCCCCGGAGTCTGAGAGCTCTCCGGTCAGCGTGGGGCGCGAGAGTGGAGATATCACGATCAGCAGGAGACTGGACAGAGAGACAGAGCCTTTCCTGGAGCTCACTGTTAAGATTCAGGATAAACGAGGTGTGTAGAATATTCCTCCATTAATCCGCATTTAAGTTAGGTCATGCACCCCTCCCTTATCTCCCCGGGCATTACTTACATTGTGGTGGTGATGCCCTATTTTAATGGAATGCTCCACATTACATGCTCATGGTAAAACTGAGCTGCCATCTGGACACCTCAGCCCTCATAAGTGGAGCCCCTCAGCAGGCCTGACAGCTCCATACATCCAGAGCTGTCAGAGTATGTGCAGCACAGGCTCATTCCACAGGTGCCTCATTACCATGTGTCCATCCAAACACCTGAGAGCTCAAATAATGCAGCACTCAGGGAGGAGGTTTTTGTCTTAATGCATTTCAATATTTGTCTGATGTGCATGAGATGTTTCAGCTGATTGAACATTATGAGCTCATTTGCAGCAGAGAGAAGTTTCTCAGTTTATGTTTAAGGACCTTTGTGCGCTGCTTGAATTATGTCCTTGATTGACATAGTTTGCGAGTGTGAAGTTGTTTTCAGAGCTAATCCTGGCAGAGTGGCAAACCTCTTCGATCCTCTCTCTCTCTCTCTCTGTCTCTCATCTACTGGCATTACCCCTCTAATCCTTCTCTCATTCACTCTCCAGTGCCAGGGATTTGAAGTAGCACTGCCACAATCAGGCAACCTCTCCGATCTTGGAGGAAAGGTGAAACATGTGTGTGAGACTAGCTCAAGTTTTGTTTTGCTCCTCTGATAGTTCGACTCCCAGCTTTAAAAAAAGACGGCAACAAAACCAAAAACAAGGAATCATGATGATTTGCTTTGTAATTGAGCTGCACAGTGTGCAGGAAACAGTGTGTGCTGTTTTCATTTGAATTGCCTGGCGCTGTTACATTGCACAGCATGCTCAGGATTGTAATTGCATGCCTGATTGGGACACATTCTTGCTAAGGGGTGTCTGGAGGTTTTTTAGGGAGAGCAAAAATAGTCTGAATTCTGATGGGTTCCAATCCCCCCCCCACAGATGCATGTAACAGAAATGAGCCGCTCTCTCCTGACAGATATTCAGATACCTTCCTCCATTTTACCTCTCACCTGCAAAACTCTCCTCTCTTGATCAAAGACGTTGCATGTCCTCTATCCTGTGACTGCAGATTTCCACACAGAATCCTGACGGGCGGCGGGGAGGACAGGCCTTTCTTCTGCTTGTCTCATCCCCAATCCTCCTATACACATGTCTGAGTCCATTTTTTTTCATTCTGAGATTTAACCTAATCTCCCACGTGAATTTGCCTCCTACCGCCGAATGTGTGTCTGCTTGGGTGTTACGATAAATTCCTGGTTTGTCTCAGAGATAAAGGAATGAGCTCACAGACACATCAGAGAGAGAAAAGGATGAGGGAGCTGCTTTGTATCAGTGTCTTTGTAGGTGTTGGTTTGTATGCAAGTGAGAGACTGCGTGGTCGTACTGAAACTGACCCCAGGTACACAAACAACAGTTCTAATAAGGCCCCATGCGTTTCATCGTCTCAACTTATCTTCGCACCGTGAACTCTCTGTAGCACGGAGCTGTCCGCGGTGCTGACAGTCACCTGCTGAATGTCAAACAGAAAGCTCTGTCAGGCAGGCAGCAGTCTACCTGCGCTTCAAAGCAGAACCTCTGTTTGCCATACAAATATTTATTCACACGTGAGTGCCAGACAAAATAAAGAGCTCACTCACACAATCCGACGACACAGCATGACAACCCAGCTTTCAAAAAAACAACAGAACCAGAGCTGGAATAGTGCTTCCCAAAGATAGTTACAAAGGTCTAGAACTACCTGTACCTCTCCGGGAAGAGTTTACTGCAGAATCTCTGTAGGGATTCTTGTTCCTCTGCCGAGTCTCCCTTTCATTATCTCCACACCTTCTGCACACGGAGTCACTTTCATTCTGACACTAGAGCTGATGAAAAGACCTGCCTCTGGTCCTTTTCTTCTAAAACACTAAAATGGCTCCTTCCCACACTATTATTACCTCGATTATTGTGCCCGAACGATAGCAGAGAAAAATATGCAACGTGCAATTACATTGCTCAGTATTACGTATTACAGCACAATGAAGTTAGTATATTTTAGCTTTTAGGGTTGCATGATACCAGAGCTTAACCTTAGATACATTACTCATAAAAACCCAAACAATATCTATACCTAATAAGATACCATGGCAACAAAAATAGAAGCCCTATGCTGCCTATATTTGGTTTGCTTCCAATTATCAGACATTGCAAGCAACCACCTGCACACAGTCTAAATTGCACAAATACATCGACAACTTTTCAGTACAGAAACATTGCAGATGTGTTTGTGCAGCCTAGACAGTGTGCAGGTGGCTGCTTGAAATTGTTGACGAATGAATACCTCTGCTACTCCTGTTTTATGGAACAGATGTAGATGTGCTACTAAAAAGGTACAACTGGTCACTCAATAATAGAGATGCATCGTTTTAAAACACATGGTGTCAACAAGAATCTAGAGGTGTTAAAGTATCAAACAATTTGAAAACCTTATCATCTCTATCTGTTCTTCATGTTAAACATAATATCTGTGTTGGCAACTTTTGCATCCCTGCACCCAGTTCATTTAGAAAATATGTTAAAGGTCACCTATTATGCTAAATCCACTTCCCCATGTTTGTCTAACTCTAATATGTGTCTCTAGTCTGTCTACAAACCCCCCAATGATGAGAAAAGTCCGTCCTCTCCGTCTTCTATGTGCTCCACTTTTCAGAAAATGTGTGCTCAAACAGGCTGTTTGGAGATTTTCCCTTCATGACATCACAAAGGGCAGTAACCCCTCCCCCAGGTGGGTGACACTCCCACAGCTAGGTGTTTGTTCTGCCCTCTGAGTCTGCCTTTTCACCGTAAACAATAGGACATGGAGTGAGAAAGCCCGAGACACCCAAGCCCTTCCAGAGAGGGGGCGTGGTCAGACACAGCTCATTTACATTTAAAGCTACAGACACAGAAACAGTCTGTTCTGAGCAGGGCTGAAATAGAGGGGTTTATAGACATGATCAAATACAGGATCAGAGTGGATTTAGAACAAGACACTTCACACACATGTTTTGAGGAGCTCTGAGACTTATTTAAACTGGTTGAAGAGGAGGAGAATATGTGACCTTTAAAGGTGTGTTTTTTCACCACTGAATCAGCACTGATTCATCTGAAGGTAGCTGATAGCTTTAGCAATAAATAGTGTAAAAGCATGGATGTTACACCCAGGCCTCCATACTGTAAACGTACGCACTTTGAGAGAGAAAGGATTTATCTTTTACATAAAACAATTTGTTGTATTTGTTGTGATAAATTCAGACTTTTTGCAAAGGGTTCATTAGGAATACTCATATTGTAATAACAATGAAATACCAATTTATCAGCTGCGCTACGTTTAGCACTGTTAGCACAGATCAGTGTGTGTGTGTGTGTGTGTGTGTGTGTGTGTGTGTGTGTGTGTGTGTGTGTGTGTGTGTGTGTGTGTGTGTGTGTGTGTGTGTGTGTGTGTGTGTGTGTGTGTGTGTGTGTGTGTGTGTGTGTGTGTGTGTGTGTGTGTGTGTGTGTGTGTGTGTGTGTGGGGGAAGACGTGATTATGAGTGTGAAGTGCAGTGAATGTGTTCATTAGGAGCTAATTTGGGCGTGAAATGCTAATCACAGTGGTGCAAGTTTTTCTTATGTTAATAAGTTTGCTGTGGTAACACCGTTATGATTAGAACCATCAGAAGAGCTGATGTTTGGAGGAGATTAAAAAATCGACTTTGACACTGAGATATCTCAGATTAATTATTTTGGCACACAGCAGATAAAAGGGGGGGGAGGGGTGCTGAAACAGCAGAACTGGATTACTCTCAGCGGGGGTCCGTCTTCATAGAAACAGTTACCTGAGAGAAAATATGCTTACAGGAAACACTCATCCTGTGCCTCCGGATGTGGCCTGTTTGAACTCTGAGCGCTCTTTTAAGTCCGTTAAATTATTTTATGAGCTTTAATTTTTGAAGTGAATGAATAATTAGAAGGGCCATCAAACGATTACTTTTTAAAATCTGGATTAATCGCTGAGATTCAGTAGTTAATCCTATCACAAATCACATTTTTAATGGCATGTTGGAAATTCTAATATTTTGTATTGCAGTTTTTTATGCTTTTATTTTGTACTGTCTTAAACTTAGGGTACTTTACTTCCTGTTAAGATACAAACCTGCTTTTGTTTTGAAAGAAAATAAGGAACGTCTGGTTGATCAAAGGTTACAGTTGGTAGAGATGGTCGTCTTTCAACTTTAAGGTCGAGGGTTCGATCCCCTGCTCCTGCAGCTACATGTCCGATGTGTCCTTGGGCAAGACACTTAACCCCAAGTTGCTCCCGCTTCGTTGGCGGCGTGTGAATGTGTATGAATGGATGAGTTAATACTGATTGTCTCTTTACACAGCAGCCTCTACCATCAGTGTGTGAATGTGTGGTCTAAAAGTGCTTTGAATAGTCAGAAGCCTAGAAAAGAAATAAACAAGCTCAAGTCCATTTACCATTTTTTAAAATTAACTCAACCATGGAAAGAGGAACTTGTTTTAGATTGAAAAAGAAATGAAAACAGACAAAGAGAACAATAAAGAAGTGAAATATTTGATGTCATCAAATGCAAATTACTTTAGACGAAGGCGCTCGAAGGATAGCTTTTTTAAATCGCTGAATTGTCATAGTTTGAAATTCCACTATTTTGCATTTCAACACTACCAACTCATTGCTCATAATTTTTACTTTTATGACAAAATGTTGACTTTCCCATCTCGTAATTATGACAACGTCAAAGTGTATGACTTTGGTCTACACTCCCTCCCGCTATACTCTGCCAATGAAAGGCGTCTGATCCAACCTTCACAACAAGGTCCTCAGACGCTAACTAGACTCTTCTCCTCTGTCACCCCCGGTGGTGGAACGAACTACCAAACTCCATTCAATCTCCAGAGTCCCTTTACACCTTTAAGAAAAAAAAAGACCCAGATCTTTATGAAC